GATTGAAGCCACTCTAAATGGGATAGCTGCCATTATTTACAATTGTGGGCCTATAGGCAAAATGGCATTAAATCTATAATCCACTCTAAACATTTAATGTAGCCATACTGACAACATAAAGCTGCTATCAATGTTCAAGACATTGCAGATACTCACTTCATTACTTCAAGTACATATGCACCAGTGGGAAAAGTTGTTATTCATAATACGAGGGTATAGAGTCAATTTTCAATAACATATATAATGAACATTGTCTGTTTAACTGCATACTCTTGACTTCCCCCTAGCTAATGTTCTCCAGGTCTGTCACTACCATAATTTTAACTTTCCAAGGCTTCTTAAATCTCCTTAACTTAATCAATACTACGTTCAGGAACTTTCCTTCACTCTCCCTCATCTCCCACATCCAACTAGTTGCCAAATCTTGTCAAAGTTGTGCCTTCACCAAATCTGCTATCATTCTCTGCTCCACTTGCGCAAAGCTACTTCCCTTATTTTGACCCTTATCACCTCATCTGGACTATGGAAACAGTCTTCCAATTGGTATCCCTGCCTCCAGTCTATCTCCTCGCCAACCTATCCTACACATGGCTTCCAACATAGCTTCCAAAATAATCTACCTAAAGCAGAAGTCTAATCCCACTACTCTTACACTCCACAATATTTTTATGTTCCTTCTTAATTTAAATTTAATCCCTACTGCCTCTAGGATAAAATACAACACCTCAGATTGGTATTTAAAGCCCTAAAGCCACAGCCAGGCTCTAATCCATATTTCAAATTTAATTCACATTACTACCTTTCACACACTACATTCCAGCTAAAGTGGACAACTTGTTTCTCAAATTCAGAATTCTATTTTCCACTTGCATAGCATGTCCCACATGCCTGATAATTACAATTCCTCTCTTGTCTGTCTCTTAATCCTTACCTTCCTCTGAGGTTCAACTCTAGTACCATTTCCCACCAGAAGTCTTTCCTGTGTCACTGATTGTTGATACTTTCCCCCTCCTTCAATCACCTTGTATTTTAAGAAGAAGACATGAAGAACTAGGAGAGAATATTGTTTACATTGTAAACCACTGCAATGATTTGTGCTCATTCATCAAATGCAGCAGAACTACCATATCTGGATTCAAACAACTGAACACCAATATGCTACAACATTGTGCAAATTAACTGGGATGAGGAAAAAGAATTAGCTTTATTGATTTATTATTATTTTATTATTATTAATTATATTATTTATATAATTTTGTTATCTATTGTATAACAATTTACTTTATATATTATTTATTATTAATTACATTATCCATCTTCATTATGAAACTACACATAACATTGGATATAACGTGCATCTCTGACAAATAACTGATTTTCCCATGTCTATCCTTGATTATAGCAGATTTTTCAATGTAGTTTAAATCAAATGAGTTGACAGGATACTAAAGCATGTTTTTATTTCCATCTCTTGGATAAATTTCTTCACCTTTAATGATATTTGGCATTATACAAGATCATACCGCGCAGCTCTTCATCTTCATTTGGGAATTTCTGAATTTCCAGGATAATTTTGTAAGGCAGTAGATCAACATATTTTATCAGTGCTCGTAATTCCCTTAATGGGGACAAGACTTCAAGACCCACAGTCAATAAACAATCCCTAAAACAGTTTTTTTTTTCAGTGGATGTTTTCTAGTCTTTTGAAAATACCCAGATATTACAGGCTCACCTGGACTTCTAACAACAATTTGGGTATAGCCTTGATTGAAAAAGTTAAGTTTTATCAGTAAAAATTACCTTTTACTACAATTTTTAGTAGTCTAGCTTTTACCGAATCTTGCCTATTACAAGTATTTTTTTCCACAGTATAGGTTCGCAGTTATTTATTGCTTTTCTAGTTATTCTTCCAAATTGAAGAGGCCTACAATCTACTGCAGAACAATCAATAACAGTCTCTCCAATTGCTGGGTCCTTCTAAAGGTATTTGCCTTTTTTTTTTTTTTTTTTTTGAGAATCAAGGTTGTTTCAGAGCAATAGTCTGTCAGTTCTTGGCATTATTTTTCATTTTCAGCTTCACTTTTCTTGTCTAGTTCTTGCTTCATTGTAGGCTTAAAGGATGCGTGAAACATCAGATTTTCCCATACCAACAGACACTCTCTAAGAGTTACTGAAGTGTGCTCTTCAAGAGCTACAACTTTTGGATATTTTAATGGCATAATATCCATGTTAAAACCAAAGAATTACAAACACAACAAAGGAAAGCAATGAAACACTTGTATGGCACAAAATCTAGTACACAAATGATAGAGAAGGAGAATTTAGCTGAAGAAACCAGCTAAATTTAGTTTTATCTGGTCAAGAAGTGATGTTCTGAGTCAACCTAGAGTCAGGAGAAACATACATGCAAGACCAATGCTAAAACAAAATAAAACCATATCCAAGTTATTACTCGTTCTAAGCAATTTATCCATTACTGAATAAAAAGTGGAAGGTCAGGGAAAGTAGTTTTATTGGCTGAAGTACATATATTACCAAAAAAAAAAAAACATGCTAGAGGTAACAACCGTAATAGCACTAAGAAGCTGATTTCAAGATATGGTCCCAAAAGGATGGGAGAAAAAAATCAGTTATCACCAGAAAAAGAAGACTATAAAAACACTAGCAACTATTGACCCGTATTCACTTGCTTGACTGAATTAAATCTTTATGTGAATCATCCACAGGTGAACTGATGAAAATGTAAGAGCAGGCAGACTTCTGTATGTTACTTCCTATAGGAGACCACATGTCGTCAACAATAAAAGACTACAACCAAGCAAGGAATACAAGATACCACTGTGTTTATCTATTGATTACAAAAAAGCACCTGGTTCAATGGAACAAAATGCTACTTTAACAGCTCTTTTCCAATAAAATTATTTCCCATACATAAGTTAAAATCTTAAAGGATTTCTTCATTGATGCAATCACCAATATAATTTTGCCCAATGTTCCTCTGATGATTATCAATATGAAGTAAACCATAAAACAGGAAAGATAATGCTTGGGAAAGATATTCACAATGTCACAGACCATGTCTTGTACAAAGTCAAAATATAATAGGATTCCTTATAAATGATGAGGTCATCTACATGTCCCTTCTTTCATATGCAATTGTGCTGACTATAACAAACCCAAGAATACTATGTAACTCCTAAACAAAATCCACAGCCTTTCAAAAGTAATTAACCTAACAATTTACATAGGAAAAAAGTATAATGAGAAAGATTTATTTTCCAGATCATGTCATGTAGTTGGATAAGCAACAAATAACACACGTGTGTGTATTTATACACATATATACTTATGTATATACATACGTATAGGCATCATAAGTCAGCAATGATCAGGGCCTATAATTGTATAGAATGGAGAGGGCTACAATGCAAATGGGAAATTGCGCAGCATTTTCAGTCAACCAAAACTGTTCCCTAACACAAATCCATCTTTATAATACCAATACCAAGATTGGTACACGGACATCAGTCTCAGATTTTTGAACAAGCAAAATTGGGGATAAGACCCAAGGACAAAAGACAAAAGTATGGTGAATGTAAGTAGGTGGCAGCATATTACCAAGAAGGATACACATCCAAGAAGTGGTATAAAAGATACCATCTAGGAACTTTATAATCAAAAAGTGAGTTAGGTTAATTAGGTGAGGTAGAGCAATGTAGGTAACAAATGGGCAGCCCAAGTAATATTAAAGAGACTTAGAAGAAGGCTTCCAGAGAATACATCTCTGGTAAGACATGGACAAGAATTGTACAGTAAGGGCAGGGTCGTGCCCACACTCATGGGATCAGAGATCCACTGGATAGCACCATTTTAACATGAAACTCAAAAATCCTAATAAAGCCTACCAAGGCCAGCCCAGCTTTAAAAAGATGATAAACTTAAACCTAAAACAGAGGTCCAATTAAAAAGTCTTATTAGGGGATAGCTAGGTGGTGCAGTGGATAGAGCTCTGGCTCTGGAGTCTGGAGGACTCGAGTTCAAATCCAGCCTCAGACATTTCACACTTACCTAGCTGTGTGACCCTGGGCAAGTCACTTAACCCTGATTGCCTCACCAAAAAGAAAAAGAAAAAAGTCTTATTATTAGAAACCAGAAATTGAGCTTAAATGCTTAACAGGGCTATCTAGAAAATTAGATTCAAGATTTATGAGGAAAAATAAACTATCAATTGTTCACAGTGAACTCTAGGAATAATTTAGTCCCTCCATAGTCCCCAGAAAAATAAATCTTAAAAACCTAATAAACAACCCTGTTAGAAACTTCAAACTAAGAAAATAGGCACCTGGATAGGAATCCCAAAGTCCTACTCAAACCTTGAGGATGTGGCGCTATTTCAACTACATTTGATTTTAAAGAGAGACCTCAATCATCTGATGAAACCAGCTTGTGCAGAAGATAACAATCCTTTAATCACCACAAGTTGGAGATGATGGAGCTTGCCTCACAAGGTCCAGAAAAGCATTCAACCATCCTAAGTCAAAGCTGAAGCAACATTCAGAATGAAAGCTCACTGAAGGCAGGGACTGCTTTTCATTCCGTCTTCATATTCCCAGATTTTAGTACAGTGGCTTGCACATAGCAGGCACCTAAGACATACATAATGAATTGATTTAGCTGGTTCTGCTTATAGCTCTCAGTCTCTATTTTCACTGCTCATCAAGGTTCTGACCTTTTTCTCCCGATATAGTTCTGCTAGAATCATAAATTCCCTGGATCTCAATTTTCTTGGACTTCAGAGTTCCTTTACCCTCACCCTCCTAAATACTGGTTTTCTGAATGTATCTCCTAGTTCTAACTCCCAAGCCTTTACCTTCATCATCCTTGCTCTTTAACACTTATCAACCATTTGGGTCCACATCCTGGTCAAATAGCTTAAGGTTCAGGCCCTGTGTTTTCCACACAAATAAAATATTAAGCCCTGTATGCCACCTATTTCCTACCTTTTGGCCATGCGAACTCCTTGTTAGCCCTTCCCTCAGATAGCACGAAGAGACTGAGAGAAAAGAAACTCAAATTAGTAAAAATCTTGCTGTTTTTTGCAGCTAACAAAAGGTTTGCTAGAAGGCCAAAAGATGGCTAAAGTGAACCTGAGGAACAGTTACAGATTTTTAACCAAGACATATTAATTTTCCCCCTCCTCTCCCGAACCCTGGGCACCCATTAGCAAAGATAATTAGGATTCTTATTGAATGTGAACAGATACTTGGTTTTATTTAAGTCAGTACCAACTAACAATGACTGCCCTCTTATCTACTCTATATGCCAAAGTCCTCCAATAATGGAAGCAAGCGGTAGTAGTAAATACCTCTAGTTATCATGCAATTTCTTCTGATGCAACAAACTTTTCATGGGAACAACAAAATAGGCAGAAAAAAATAGAAGTCAAAAGAACTAACAGATTAGTGGATAGAAATCATATGTGCTAGGTTTTATAAATGTCAAGATTTTAAGATTTCATAAAGAAAGGAAAATAAAAGCAGAGGCTCTATCAATAACTTTCTACATGACTAAGCTAGTTCACTGACAACTATTCTAGGAAATTTTACCAAGACTAATCTCTAGGAAATCTTACCCTGACTAATCAAGGATGGGGAACTTGTGACCTTCCAGGCCACATGTGGCCTTCTAGGTCCTCAAGTGCTGCCCTTTGACTGAATCCAAACTTCACAGAACAAATCCCCTTAATAAAAAAGATTAGTTCTGGAGAACATGGACTCGGTCAAAAGGCCGTATCCAAGGCCCTCATGTGGCCTCAAGGCCAAAGGTTCCCTACCCCTGAACTAAATGTTTCTACGGTCATTTCTAAACCCATTAACTCCTTCTCCCCAAAAAGTCACCTATTTCTATGTAAAGTAGAACACTACTGACACTTTTTTACATTATAATAATTTTAAAGTAGATTGTCTTTATTTATTAGGAGGGTAGATTTTATAAATGCTTATATCATCAAGAGAATATTAACTGACTGAATGCAGTGATATCTGCATTCTCTCTACCAGATCTGCATATTCTATTTCCTTTTATCTCTACATCTAATACTTCAGATACTATTTCTGCCAAAGGTTCAGACTTATAAACCAGAGTATATAATGAACCCAAACAACAATGTGGGTATAAGAGGCATTTTTAGAAAAACAAAGAAATAATGTAGACGAATATCCTCTCTTGCAGACTATTTTTGGTCTATTTCCTTTTGCTGTCTGTTCTCACTACTCTGCTAGGACCAAATACACAAACTTTAAAGAATTAATGGCTAAACCTGTGGTTGCCAAGAACCATTTCTAATCCCTTATAAGAGTATATAGTCATTACTGAAAAAAGATACCTTTCATTTTTTTACTGTTGACTTTCAAGAAACCATTGACCATTGAGTGTTTCCAGTAGAAATGACATAACTCTGAGACAACATTGTAAATGGAGACCAACAAGAGGAGAAAAAAAAGTGTAATTTTTTTAATAGAAAAAAATAGGAACCAAAGTAGTATTACAACTCCCTTCTTCATAATTTCAAGTATTTTCTTTAAGACATCTCTGAAAAACTCAGTCTCTTGCGTTCATTTTTATGAACTAATTATTCCACACAACAATGTGAAGAATATTTTACTTTTTAAAAATGCATGAATATATCAAAACGAACACAAAAGACTTTAACATGCTTCTCGCTTATCATGATAAATAGTGACAAAATTCCAGATTGGTGAACTTATGGCTGTGTCTACACAGAGTTACTAATTTGGTTGTTTTGACTGAATAGATAGATCAATTTATCCAAACAACTGACTTAACTGATATTTTAACTACACCAAATGGTTATTTAAGCAAATGACTTAACTATGGACCAAATGACAGAACAATGTGAAGACACTGCCTAAGATGCAGCGGTCATGCACTGACTTTAGTAGCAGACACTGTACTTACCACCTCTCAAAAAGATCATAATTAAGATTATTAGTCAAAGTGATAACTCCAGACAAAAAGAATAAATAATAGGGCCATATCCTCGAGGGTAGAACCACTTTACATGTATCACAAGAAAACATTTTAAAAGCTATATTAGAATCGGGAAAAAACGAATTCTACTATAACTTTGTGAAATCAGGGTAAAATTCATTTAAAAAAAAAATCACAGCTGCTTTTGTTGCCAAAAAAAATCTACTAATTTAGGCACAATCTGTAATAATGTTTTTTTTAGTTTCATGTTAGAATTTCTAAAATATCATGTGAGCATTTAACTTACCTAAATGAAGCAAAGTAAACTGGGCTGCCAATTCCTTTGCATCTTCTAGCGTTGTACATAGTTTGTCTGGCATGAAGTAACTCTGAGATCCATTTGCAATAGCAGGAATAACTATTTTATATACCAAGAGTACTTTTCCATCTTGACTTGTTGTTGAATATAAATAATATTCTGGTGGTGCCCAATTATTTTTGTTGCAGTAATAATCCAAATGCATTACTGCAGAATTGAAGTGATTAGATTTTAAAGAATACATACTTATTGGTGTAAGCTTTGTTCCAGGAAAAAATGGATAAGTGCATCTTTCAATTTCTGGGGGGCCTGGGCTATGCTGACCATTTAGACGAGCTGGAAGACTTGGTGGTTTTCCTAGAGTTTTTTGGTGTCCCTCTTCTTTGTTAGCAAATACCAATAGGTTTTCAGAATTTGGGCTAATCTGACCATTAAGATGTTGTCTCCAAGTGCTTTCTTTATTTACTGGTTTAGCCAGTGTTACTTCAATATTTGCTCCATCAATACATCTTCCATTCATAACAGACATGGCAGCCACTGCATCTTCTCGGTTGAAAAAATGAACAAAAGCATAATCTCTAAGTTTCTTCACCCTTTCAACAGCACCAGGTTTGAATTTGTTGAATTCTGCTTTAATTGTTTCCTCTGTGGTAGAGATCATTAAATTTCTTACATACAAAACTTTAACTCTCTGCATTGTTTCTTCATCAACTTCTTTTTCTGGATCTGCCCAATCTACCTGTATAGTATGGCCCCACAGTTGGAATGTTCCTGTAAAAGTTATAAATAATATTCACTTATAGGCAAAATTAAAATGGACAAAATGAAGGTCAAAGATTTGACTAATTCTTTCCAAAGAAGGCGAAATTGATATATCTCAAATATTTGTAACTCTGAAACAATTTTTTCTATCCAAATAAAATCCAAATTGGGAATGTTTAGCTTGAAATTGTTTAAGTCAAAATAATAAATGTTGACCTTCATATTTCTCAAGCTCTATTTCTAAGTTTCATCCTTAAAACAGAGAAATTCAAATAATGCATCTTGTTAAAATAAATGAGAAAGTTATTAAATTACTTCCTGTAATGAATAGCCTACTTGACTTTTAAAAATCTAACTGCAAGGCTTCTGAAATATTTTACTTCTGTTTACTCAGAAATTTTCTTTTTTTTTTTTTTGTAGAGTTATGTGTTTTTACAAAACTGACCTCAAAAATTTATGATCCTTTTAAGGTAAAAAATAATAGCTACATCATTTGACATCTATAATAATTTTCCTTTAGAAAACCTACTTTAAAAATTGATTTTTCTTTCCCAGAACAGTGTAGCACACAGCACAGAGAAGCTCAGAGTCAGATTTACATTAAAGTCCTCCCTCTACACATATTGGCTATGCTTTTTGTTTTTGTTTTTTTGTTTGTTTGTTTGTTTGTTTTTAAGGCACTTGGGGTTAAGTGACTTGCCCAGAATCACACAGCTAGTAAGTGTCAAGCAGTTGGTCTGAGGCCAGATTTGAACTCAGGTCCTCCTGACTTCAGGACCAGTGCTCTATCCACTGTGCCACCTAACTGCCCCCACATATTGACTACGTTAGCCTGGGCAAATCATTTAATTTTTCAGTGTCCCAGGTACTCTTTATAATTTTAGGATGAACACTTACTGACCTACACTAGTAGAGAGAATTTCCTCACCAGGAATTCCCTACACCAATGAAATCACAGCTCTGGATTAAAAAAATAATAGAAGCAAAAAATGATTTGTTCACCTGGAATAAGTTTTCTCCTTGCCATGGCAGCAGCTCTGTGGGACTCATATTCTACAAATGCGAAACCACGATTTTTGGTCTTATCAGTTGCACTTGGATAAACAATGACATCCACAACTCCTTCTGTAACTTTCTTCATTTCATCGAGTATTTCTTCTTTTTTCTTTTCTTTGGGAATAGCTCCAATAAATAATCTGCAATTATCCAAACTTACACACACACCAATAAATTTCCCTGGACGAATCTCATAATTATTAAGAATTCTAATGGCTAATTGGGCTTCTTCTTTAGTTGTATACATTACAAAAGCATATCCTCGATTTTCACCACTAAATTCCATCATAAGTCGGAATTCATATATCTTTCCAGCTCTTTCAAAAACAGGAACTAATTCATCTTCATACATATCACGAGGGATCTTTCCTACAAAAACTTCACACCCTCTAGGTGGAGGTGGACCTTCCCAACCTGAAAGGGAAGCATAATTTTCAAGAAAGATATTTGTAAAGCATAATTGTTTATTGGCTTATTATTGAGAGATAGCTTATTTTTGGAGATAAAGCAAACAAGGTACCTAACACTTTGGTTTTACTGATTCATCCTCACTTCCAAATACACTCCAATACCCACTGCTCATCCAGTCAAACTTCCAAAGTTGCCAGCTCCTCCCAAAGAATGGTAAGAGTGACAAAAAAGGGACTTAGAAAAATTGAGTTTGATTTCTAGTTCTGCCTGTGTGGTCCTGGGCAAGTCAATTAGCCTCTCTGGGTCTCATTTTCCTGATCTTTCAAATGTGGGGGTCAGACTACGTGATCTTTTAAGTAATCTTCCAGCTCCAACTTCTATGATTCTAAGTAGACAGCTCCTATTAGCCCATCATTACAACCTTAACATTGTTTCTTACTGCCCATCATTACCCTCTCTCCCAAAGCTGGTTTTCTAAAATAAACAAAGAGTTGATGGACTAGCTACGAGAAAGTTACAGAGAAAAATATTCAGGACCAATTTTTTTTCTTTCCCAAAGATTAAATATGACCTAATAGTTAAGGAGAGGCTAGAAAGAGAAAATTTCTGCTGAAGACACTTGTACTAGGCAAGAAGATATTCATAATTTTGAATGCCTAAAGCACAGGATTAAAAAGATAACACAGACAATCCTCACCTGGTGGTGGCCCACCAAATTTCCTTTGTCCATTTTCTTGAACCATGTTGTAACCAGTTTTTTCCATTAAAGCTAACAAGGCTGCTTCATTCTGGGTACCAGTCCGAACTTTGCTGCATCCATTTGTTACATCTAGATTTTCTTCATTCATAGTTGCAATTTCTAAGTAAAAAGATTAAGAAAAGGTTTAAAGTAGCAATGTGCATATGTTCCATGTCACTACAATCTTATGGTCTCCATAGGTTCACAGAAACAAAGTGTGGTCATTATGACTAACAAGTCGGCTAAATGTTTCACCTACTCTAATGCTCTGCCCCAACATTACAGCAAGGATTAAGGTACAAAAAACCTCATGAAGAGAAAACTTAAGTTTCACAATCTTGATAAAAGTTAAGATGTGAAGGTGACCTAAGTTCTCGAAGATTATACACACAGAGCACAAGCTCTACCCAATCCGACCCAAATGAGAATGTTTCAAATACTTGCCCTATCTAGTTAAGTGTGAAATAATTTATCAAGTATTAAACCTATTAATCTTACGTTAACATATAAAACCACCTACTAAGCTACTGATGGGGTGTGATCTGTTTCAGTGGAGGAAGTGTTAACATTAGTAAAATTATAGATCTTTTGAAATATTGTATTATATAAGAAATAAATATTCAAGTTCTCTAAAATAATATTTGGAAGACTTAGCAAAATAATACAGTCTGTTGTCAACATCATAAATATCAGACATTAATACATTAAGGATATGGTTTTCTTGTTTTTTCTTGTCTCACCAATGTAGAACATAACCTATATACAATTTATAATATTACAGATTTGTCTGAAACTCAGAGGGTAAATGAGTTATCCATGGCTTCCCATGTAAGTGAGCTTATCCCCTGAGTCTAACAGAGTAGAAATTTAATAAATATTTTTTGAAATTATCTGAATTCCTGACTCCAAGGCCAGAACTCTATCCACTATAACAAGTTATCTATCTCTATAATCATTCTCCACCTTTTTTCTTTCTTTCTTTTTTTTGGGGGGTGGTCTAGATCTATGATTTCATCAGCAAAACGAACTTCTGTTTTAGAAATTCTCCTCTACTAATGCAGAATAGGAGTTTTGCATCTCCCATTCTGCAACCTGAAAACTATCTATGGCACTTAGAAGTTGTGACTTCCCCATGGTGATATAGCTAGTATGTACGGAAGTTAAACCTGGACCCTCCTAACAATGACCCTCTATCCATTAGCCCTGCCCTCCCATCTCCTATTCTCATATCCCCACCCTCCTCAACTTTAGCCTAACCATCTCCCATTCCAACTTTGCTCACTCCCTCCACTGTGCCTGCTGGAATTCCTGTTCTATAACAAACAAAATCCCTACATTTTGGATAATTATCTTTCAATTTTTTTTTCTATCCACTTGCTCTAAGCTTGCCTTCTTCCCACAAACAACTGTATCCTTGACTATTCTCTCTAGCACTAGCTGTACCTTTACTCACATCCCCCAAACCACTGATCCTACAAAGAGATCAGAATACACCTTGCTACCCAATGCTACTTCTAGAGTGTCCCTTTGACACCAATACTCAGCAACCTCTCATTCTTTGAAATTTTTCATCCCCACGTAAATCATGGTGGTTATTGTCTACTTTATACTATCTCCCAAATTATCCTCTCCTTTATAAAAAAGTTTACTATTTTAATTTTTCCCAAATACATGTAAAAACAATTTTAACACTCATTTTAAAAAAAATTGAGTTCCAAATTCCCTCCTTTCCCTCGTTGAGAAGGCAAGCAGTCATGCAAAACATATTTCATGGGAGTCATGTTGTGAAAGAAAATACAGACAAAAAAAGAAAAAGTATGCTTCAATCTGCATTCAGATTCCATCAGTTCCTTCTTTCAAAATGGACAGCATTTTTTTATCTTAAGACCTTCAGAATTGTCTTGGATCACTGTATTGCTGGGAATAGCCAAGTCATTCACAATTGATCATCATACAATATTGCTGTTAATGAATACAATGTTTTCCTGGTTCTGCTCACTTTACTTTGCATCAGTATATATGTCTTTCCAGGTTTTAGTATTCCATCACAATCATATACAACAGCTTGTTCAGTCATTTCCCAATTTATGGACATCCCCTCAATTTCCAATTCTTTGCCACCACTAAAAGAGCTACTGTAAGTCCTTTTCCTTTTTGTTTTTGTTTTTTTTTAATCTAAGATACAGACCTAGTAGTAGTATTACTATTACTTGGTCAAAGAGTATGCATGGTTTTATAGCCCTTTGGGCATAGTTCCAAACTGCTCTACAGAATGGTTGAATCAGTATGTAACTTCACCAACAGTACATTAGTGTCTCAATTATCCCATATCTCCTCCAACATGTCATTTTCCTTTTCTGTCATATTAGTCAATCTAATAGGTGTGGGTGGTACCTCAGAGTTGTTTTAATTCGTATTTCTCTAATCAATAGTGATTTAGAACATTTTATATGACTATAGATAGCTTTAATTACTTCATCTGATTACTGCCTGTTCATATCCTTTGACCATTTATCAATTGAGAAATGGATCTTATTTCTATAAGTTGACTCAGTTCTCTAGATATTTGAGAAATGAGGTCTTTATCAAAAAAACAACTTGCTATAAAAAAATTTTTGTTACCTATGATTACCATGTATTTCTCTCTATCCTGTTTTCCCCTTGTTTATCCTACTCTCTCTCTCCCTTCACCCTGTCCATTCTCAAGTGTTTTGCTTCTGACTTCTACTTCCCTGAATCCACCCTCTCTTCTATCAGTGCTCCACCATTCCCTTCCCCTCCTACTCTCCTGGATGGCAACGCAGATTTCTATACCCAAGTGAGTATGTATATTATTCCCTCTTTGAGCCAATGCTGATGACAATAAGGTTCATGTACTCTCCCCCATCTTCCTCTCTACTGTAAAAGTTCTTTGGTGAGTCTTGTATGTCAGATAATTTACCACATTCTACCCCTCCCTTCCTCCTTCTCCCAGTGTATCCCTCCTCACCCATTAACTTTATTTTTTTAGATAACCATCCCATCATATTCAATTCGCACCCATGCCCTCTGTCTATGTAGACGTCTAACTGCCCTAACAATATGAAATTTTTTAGGAGTTACAAGTGTGATTGAATCCCTTATGCTTTCTTTTTCCTGTTTACCTTTTTCTTTTTCTCAAGTCTTTTATATGAAAGCAATACTTTCTATACAGCTCTGGTCTTTTCAATCAGGAAAGTCCTCTATCTCACTGAATATCCTTTTTTCCCCCCGAAGGACTATACTCAGTTTTGATGGGTAGGTGATTCTTGGTTGTAATCCTAGATCTTTTGCCTTCTAGAATATTTTATTCCAAGCCCTCTAATACTTTAAGGTGTGGCTCCACAACATTTGAACCGTTTCTTTTCAGCTGCTTGCAATGTTCTCATCTTCACCTGGAAACTCTGAAATCTGGCTAACTTCTGGGAGTTTTCATTTTGGGATCTCTTTCAGGAAGTGATTGGTGGAGTCTTTCAATTTCTAGTTTTACCCTCTGGTTCTAGAATATTAGGGCAGTTTTCCTTGATAATTTCTTGAAAAATTATGTCGAGGTTCTTTTTCTGATCATGGCTTTCAGGTAGTCCAATAATTTTTAAATTATCTCTCCTGGATCTATTTTCCAGGTCAGTTGTTTTTCCAAGGAGATATTTCACATTTTTGTCTATTTTTTCATTTTTTTATTTTGTTATAGTTCTTTGATGTGTAATAAAGTCATTAGTTCCTACTTGCCCAATTCTAATTTTTAAGGAATTATTTTCTTCAGTGAGATTTTGTACCTCCTTTTCCATTTGGCCAATTCTGCCTTTTTAAGGAGGTCTTTTCTTCAGTGAATTTGTGTACAGTTATCCCTTCCACACTTCAACTTTCCCCATTGAGGTTTCAATATATTGTGGGTCAGCATAAGAAATGGGAATTTTGGGGGCAGTTTTGCAGAAGTTGAAGATGACACATGATGGTGAGCAGAGATCACAGAACCTGTGATCAAATACTTAAATACATTTTACAATAAGGTACTATAAACACCCCATAAAAGAAAAAGAAAAAATTCAGACTTCTATGGTATGAAGAGAGGGCCAAAAAATTTTACACAGATTTTCCAGATTGCATGAGCACCACATCCCTAACACCCATAACGTGAAAGAAATAACTGTATCTTTTTTTTTCCCATTTGACCAATTCTGCTTTTCAAGGCATTCTTCTCTTCAGTAGATTTTTGAGCTTCTTTTATCATTTGGGCTATTCTGTTTTTTTTTAAAAGTTATTTTCTTAGCATTTTTTGTCCCTCCTTTATCAAGGTGTTGACTCTTTTTTTTTCCATGATATTCTTGCATTACTCTCATTGCTCTTCCCTATTTTTCTTCTACCTCTCTTACTTGATTTTTAAAATTCTTCTTGAGCTCCTTCATGGCCTGAGACCAATTCATATTTTTCTTTGAGGTATCAGATATAGGAGTTTTGGTTTTGTTGTCTTTTTCTGAGTTTGTTTTGGTCTTTCCTGTCACCATAACAACTGCCTATAATCAGGCTCTTTTTCTGCTTTTTGCTCATTTTTCCAGCCTACTTCTTGACTTTTAACTCTATGCTAAAGTGGGACTCTGCTTCCAGAGTGGAGAAAGCACTGTCCCAAGTTTCAGGTTTTTTGTGCAGCTACTTTCAGAGATAATTCTGGGGACCTGTTAGTTTTTGGTTCTTCCAAGGTGGTATGATCTAGGGAGAGATGAGTTCACTACTCTCCTGGCCTGTGCTCTAGTCTATGACCACAAGCACACTTTTCTATCCTGGAACTGTGACCTTGAGCGCCCAGCTCCCCTGTGGCTACAAGTTCTAGTACGCTAGTGGCTCCTCCTTGCCTTGGAACTGAGACCTGGGACTGCAACATAAATCCAAGTATGGGCAATACACCAGCAAAGGGACCCCTATAATCTCCTTCAGACCAGTTGTCTGACACTCCCCCCAACCCTTACTATGGTCTGAGAGGTCCAGAAACTACCACTGCCACCACTGATTCAGCTGTATCCCACCCCCACTCCCAAGGCCTACTGCTGGTTTGCTGAGGCACAGTCTGTGCTGGACTGCATTCTACTCTCACACCAGTGGAACAG